ATTCACAGCCACCTTTCCTAATGAGACCAGTTCAGGGCTGGCCAGGGTTCACTTTGCAGATTTGGAACAGGTCCTGCCCTTCATGGGGCTATTGTCGATATCTCCTTCCAGAGCTCACAACCTCTGAGGTGTCTGCTGATAGGACAAAAAGAAAATCACACCTTTGTTTCCACAAGCCTCAGGTAGACTTCTGCAACTTGAATATGTTTTCTCATCTCTAAAGTCATTCAGGATCTCTCAAGATGACCATGGAAGGTCCTGCTGACCACCGGCGCCCATCCATCACCTCCTCTCCTGCCACATCTGTTCAACTCTCTCTTCTAGTAAGCACTCGATCCACTTTTCTATCCCTTCCTCTGAAGCTCAGAGTTCCCAGACCCTCCTCTGCATTTGCCTTGTCTGCTTGTCCATATCCTTGTTGCAGAGAGTTCTCATAGCCCTTCTGCTTAGTCTGCCATCTTGCCCCAACTACCACGGTTACTACAATAGGAAAGAAATCTACTATCCGACTGTTTTGTACATTTATGGCACACATCTGGCAGTAGGGATGCTGAGGTGAGAGGTAAAGAATCCTGTTGGCTGTTAAGTGACAGCATGGGTGGGGCGTGATTCTAGTGGCCTGGCAGTTACATCCTGATGCAACCACTTGTATTTTGTGATCTGATGTGCTCCTCCTCCATTTTTCCATAATGCTGATTTTCGCATAACCACCTGGTCTTTAGAACCTAACGCACGTCACTAAGGGAGGAGTGGGTGTACATGATTGGCTACATACCTGTATTCTCAATTAGGCAGAGTCTTTTCAAGATGTTTCCTCTTGTCATTAAGTATGTATTTTTGTTAACGATACTTTATTAAATGCATACTTTACTAATTTCATTTAGTGAAAAAGGTTGATATTTTGTTCAAAGATTAACTTGACCCAATCTTGATTTTAAAAAGCCCCAAGATTGTCAATAAGTTTCAATTAATTACACCATGATTATAAACGATCTTTACTAAAAACTGCATATTCTTGTGATTCAGAGCCATTCTCATTTAAAGTTTCGGGGGAAATGCCATATCCCCCTCATCAGTTAGGTTCCATTCAGTTTAATGGAATTTACTGGCTTTGACATAGACAGTGGAGCTACAAAGGGGATGAAACATATCCCAGGAGCCTGTAACATAACCCAGTTTGTGCTGATGGGCAAAGAGGCAATGTAAACAGATAAGATGAAGTGCGGAAGATGATGCTATAAGCAGGACATTTGGAATTTAAAATGACAGACAAGATGATTTCATATAACAAGTCAGGCTCCAACCATCTCACTTACATTCCACAATACAAAGTGGAAAATGGTGGCAGACAATTTGTTTAAATTAAAAGCAAATGAAAACAATGCTTTTTTTCCTCTCTTAAAAGCAAGCACTTTATTGTTGTTAAGTGCCATCAAGTTGGTTCATAGTGACCCTGGATAGGGTTTCTGAGGAGCAGCTGGTGAGTTTTAACCGCCAACCTTGCAGTTCAAACCGACTTTGTGGTCAAGCGTTTATCCTACAGTATCACGCCAGGACTCCAAAAGCAAACACATGCTTATAAAATTATTTCTCTGTTGGTTTACTCCAGACTAAATACATTTTACTTCATGTTAAAGTGTTTTAATTTATATGACTGATTAATCTACAATTCATAATTGTTATTGCTGTAAAGTGCTGCCGAGTTGGTTCCAACCCATTCATAATTAATTCTACAATTACAATTAATAATTACTTCTAACATATTTGTTCCTCTATTTCATGTTTTCCTCTGAATGGCTTTCTAAATAGGATATACATTGGTCACAGTACAGTTTTTAAATATCAACATTAGAACTAAGTTTCCTCAAAAGCATTGCATTAATTTGGTATCTTGGAGAACAAAATGGTAGTCTATAAATCATCTTAATAATCAATAAAAATTGGTTGATATTTATATAAAGATTAACTTAAGACAAAAACTTAAAACCCAGATTTTTAATGAATTATACCCTGATTATAAATTATCTTTACTAAAGAATGCATATTCTTGTTATCTGAAACTAAGTATTTAAAAAGAATGATATACTTAATAAAAATCAAAAAGAAACTGTTTTATTTAAAACTGTTACCATAAAAAGCAAATAGACATCTCTAAGATATTCAGGTCATTTTAGAAGACACAGGCTGTAAGGATTAAAAGTAAGCTTCCGTATTCACTTCCAGGATCAAAATTTCACATTACAGAAATGCTTAGTAACAAATATTTGGCAAACAGATAATGACTCTAAAGTTGTCCAATAAATGGAAAACTTTCTATTTTTCCTCTTAACAAAAACAACCTATGAACTACTGAATTAACCATAAAAATTTAACATTAATTTCAGGAAAAAGGCACATTTGGGCAAAATAGTGAAGGCGATTTCTAAAAGAAACATTTCGACGGCGCATAACCAACTGACTTCCACATACATCACTCTGGAAGATTCTAGAACATGACAAAGTGTATTTTGTAAAAGCTGGGTAAATATGTGGACACGAACCCATCGCTATAGTGTTATTTTATTCTTCATGTGTATGTAAGGCTTACTTGTTGTTAAGTGCCTTCGAGTTGATTCCAACTCACGGTGACCCTGAAGAGGGTTTCCGAGGCTTTAAATCTTTGCAGGAGCGGAAGGCCTCATCTTTCTCCCACAGAGTAGCTTATAGGAATGTGTAATTAAATAACTGCGTTGGCTCTCTGCTTTCTGGTACAGCTGTACTGTTTCTTTCCAAGTTTTATTTATTGTAGTGTTACTGAGTCTGTTGTCAGACACTCGATCGTCTTTCTGGTTTTGGTACACACTTCATAACTGCAGCTTTCCACAATACTGGGGCAAGTAGAAGACTAAGAGTCGTCACACTTAATATTAGGAGGTAGACCTGTAAATCAAAAGTACAACATCATTATTTATGATAGATTACAGAATTGCCAAAGAGTTTCATCTAAACAGGAACTGATTTTTGACAATCAATATAAAGCTATAATCGATTCTAAATAGACAACAAGTTAATCTTGCTGTTATTGTTAAGTGCCATCAAGTCAATTCCAATTCATAGCTACCCTGTATTGAGTTTTCAAGGAGTGGCTGGTGGGTTTGAACTGCTGACCTAGTGGTTAGCAGTCCGGTGCTAATCCTACAGTGCCATTCCAGGACCTCTATGAAGTTAATAGATTTCAAGGATCTTCAATAACTATTTCTACTGTGTTTTATTCTTAAGACTTCTCTTATACTGTTCACATTTGCACACAGATCAGGAGACAATCACTTAATTTAGAATGTTTAACAGTGTTTCACATTATATTAATAGAAAATTTATCATTCATTCAGCCGAAATTTATAGGGAGCTGGTCTGCTTAACCAAAACTAAAAACTGTCCTAGGGATAGGGAGGGTTTTAATCCGCACCACAACATCTAAGAAACACAGCTCTCCAAGTCGGGGGAGGGACAGAATAAAAGAGGGGGTAAGAGTCAAGGAGATCAAAGATGGGACAATTCTATTCAGGACTGTTGCCAACGCCATGAGGATCATTTGTCAGACTGATGTTGCTGCTAAGTGTCACTGAATGGGTTCCGACTCGCAGCGCCCTTATATAGGGTTTCCGAGGTTTTTAAATCTTTGTGAGAGCAGAAATCCTCATCTTTCTCCCTCATTTGTTGCATTAGTGAATACAAAACGAGGAAGAAGAAAATTCTTGTGTAAGACTTTGAGAATCAGGTTGAACATATTCTAATTTTGTTTAATTAGACAACAAAAAGCAGTGTTTAGATTTAAAAAAGCAGGTTAAAAGTTCAAAAATAAATTTTTTAATGAAACTTTGTTGTTATGTGCTGTGAAGTCGATGCCGAGTCATACTTACTAGACATTAAATTAAATGCCTACAAATCAACAATTTAAAAGAATCCTGAAGCTATTTCTAAGTTGGGAAAGAGAAGTGTAGCTAGTTCATGGCAACTTGAAAGTGTGAACCAAAAAAGACCTCGTCTTGTTGTTGTTGTTGTGTGCCGTGGAGTCGGTTCCGACTCATAGTGACCCTGTACAGGGTTTCCAAGGCTGTAAATCTTACAGAAGCAGAAAGCCTCATCTTTCTCCCGTGGAACAGCTGGTAGTTTCGAACTGCTGACCTTAGGTTCACAGCCTGATCCGTAACCACTACACGACCAGAGCTCCTTCTTGTCTTCTTGGGTCTCTTCAAACACATGCAATTTCATAGCATAACCAGAATTCAAAGTGTGGTAACTCTGGGAGCAGGTAATTCACATTTCTACAACTATTAGCCAAAGTATTTACATTAAATAAAGAACAAACAAACAAAAATTCCTTTCCATCTCTGCCTTGCTTCATGGTCTATTTTCAAAAATAAAAATGTTTTTCTTAGTTAAAATATCAATTTGTCCTTAGATCATTCAGGGCAAATACTTTACTCAGTTCTTTGATCTTAAAAGAAAATTCAGGCTTTGAGTGCTATGAAAACTTTTAACATCATAGAATATTCCATTACAGTTTATGCCACAACCCACATCCCCCAACTAACCATAAATTGTTCTTCTTATCCAATTTTTTCTTTGAAGGGGGGAAGAAAAACAATTTTAATTTCATGCTTCAAATTCCTGTATGTACATTAAATACTATATAAATTTGTCTTTGCAGTTGTTAAGTGCTGTTGAGTTGGTTCTGACTCATGCTGATTCCGTATAGGGTTTTCAAGGAGCGGCTGGTGAGTCTGAACTGCTGACCTTGTGGTCCAGTACCACAGCAGGAGAGGAATATTAGACCCGAGTACTATTATTTCAAGCCTCGACTTTCGCTATTGAAAGATTCACTGGGCAAATTATTGAATGATGCAGAATGCATCAAGAAAAGATGGAAGGAATACACAGAGTCATTGTACCAGAAGGAAATGGTTAATGTTCAACCATTTCAAGAGATACCATATGAACAAGAGCCAATGATACTCAGAGAGGAAGTCCAAAATGCATTGAAAGAAGTGGCAAAGAACAAGGCACCAGGAATTGATGGAATAAGAATTGAGGTCTTTCAGGAAAGTGAGGCAGCACAGGAGGCACTCACTCATCTCTGCCAGGAAATTTGGAAGACAACTGTCTGGCCGACTGATTGGAAGAGATCAATGTTTGTGCCCATTCCAAAGAGAGGTGACCCAACGGAATGCGGAAATCATCGGACAATCTCTTTGATATCTCAAGCAAGCAAAGTTTTGCTCAAGGTAATACAGAAACGGCTACAGTCATACATTGACAGAGAACTTCCAGAGGTTCAAGCTGGATTCAGAAGAGGCCGTGGAACGAGAGATATCATTGCTGATGTCCGATGGATCTTGGCTGAAAGCAGAGAATATCAGAAGGATGTTTACCTGTGCTTTATTGACTACGCAAAGGCTTTTGATTGTGTGGATCATGACAAGCTATGGACAACATTGAGAAGTATGAGTATTCCAGAACACTTAATTGTACTTCTAAGAAATCTGTACCTAGACCAAGAAGCAGTTGTTCGAACAGAACATGGGAACACTGAAAGTTTTAAAATTGGGAAAGGTGTGAGACAGGGTTGTATTCTTTCACCATACTTGTTCAACCTGTATGCTGAGCAAATAATACGAGAAGCTGGGTTCTATGAAGAAAAACGTGGCATCAGGATTGGAGGAAGACTCATTAACAACCTGCGATATGCAGATGATACAACCTTGATCGCTGAAAGTGAAGAGGACTTGAAATATTTACTTATGAAGATTAAAGAGCACAGCCTTCGATATGGATTGCATCTCAATGTCAAGAAAACAAAAATCCTCACCACTGGACCAATAAACAACATTCTTATCAATGGAGAAAGGATTGAAGTTGTCAAGGACTTCATTCTTCTTGGATCAACTATCAACACTCGCGGAAGTAGCAGTCAAGAGATCAGAAGACGTATTGCACTGGGCAAATCTGCTGCACAGGAACTTTTTAAAGTATTGAAGAGCAGAGATGTCAGCTTGAGGACTAGGGTGCGCCTGACCCAGGCCATTGTGTTTTCAATAGCCTCATATGGATGCGAAAGCTGGACAGTGAATAAAGAGGATCGTAGAAGAATTGATGCCTTTGAGTTGTGGTGTTGGAGGAGAATACTGAGGGTGCCATGGACTGCCAAAAGAACCAATAGATCTGTTTTGGAAGAAGTGCAGCCAGAGTGCTCCTTGGAGGCCAGGATGGCTAAGCTTCGTCTCTCCTACTTTGGACATGTAGTCCGGAGGAAACAATCGTTGGAGAAGGATGTCATGCTGGGTAGGGTGGAGGGTCAGAGAAAAAGAGGGAGACCTCCAACGAGATGGATCGGCCAGGTGGCATCATTGATGGACTCGGGGGTGGCAGCGGTGGTGAGGTTGGCCCAGGATCGAACATTGTTTCGTTCTGCTGTGCATGGAGTCGCTATGAGTCGGTTCCGACTCGATGGCACCTGACAACAACAACAACAACTATTATTTCATTTGGAGCCCTGGCTATGCAGTGGGTTACACACTAGGCTGCTAACCACAGGGTCAACAGTTCGAATCCACCAGTCACCTGACGGAGAAAGAAGAGGTTTTCTGCTTTGTAAGATTTACAGCCTCAGAAACTGTGTGAGTTGGAACCATCTCAAAGGCAGTAGGTATGCAGAAAGACAACTTAGTCGTTCTGCTTATAAATATCAAAAGAGCGCCAAATCAGAACACAGAGACTTTGCAATGAGAATTTTTAAATTAAGGTCCCACCGCCAATTTTTTTCTTTTAATTTGCTATTGTGTTAACTAACCATTTACCATATGCTTTTGAAGCAGATAAAACATCTTGCTATCAGGATATTATGCAAGGAAGTTTATGTCTCTTGGATAACTGGTCCCCTTGGGTTTCACTTATTTGCAGTGAAATAAAGTGAAAATAAATTAAAGTATCATTTTGTTGCTATTGTTGTTGTTGTTAAGCACCTTCAAGTCAGTTCCAACCCATAGCAACCCCGTGTAGAGTTCCCGAGGAGCAGCTGGTGAACTTGAACAGCTGACCTTGCAGTTCAAACTGACATTTCAGTTCAGCACCGTAGCCCACAGTGCCATATTAGTACTCCTAAAGCATCATAAACCAAACTAAAAAAATATCATAAACCAAAGCAAAGCTACTGCCACCAAGTCGATTCCAACTCATAGCGACTCTGTATGGGGTTTCTGAGGCTGTAAATATTTATGGGAGAAGACTTGGTTTTCTCCGACAGTAAGGTTGGGGTTTTGAACTGCTTGCTGATCTTGTGGTTAAGAGTCTCCAGTCCTTAGTCTACACACCATCATGGCTCCTTATCAGGGGTTACAACAAATGCTGATAGCCAAAGTGCATCGTAAAGGGTGGAGGCATCCTTTAATGGTGAAATCTTTGGGCTTAAGGAAAAAAACAGTCTATACTACATTTCACATGTCTTAAAAAAACAGTCACATCACATTTTTGTTATAATATAAAACTTCTTACAATAGAATTTACTTTGAAATACAGTTATGACCAAATCAATTATAACATACATACATTGGCATTTTAACATAAGGGCAAACTTTAAAAACAGTTTGAACATTTAAATTTAGGCCATATTATTTTTTTGAAAAAAGACCATAGTCTTAACATTCAACATAATCCAACTAAAATGGCCGTTTTTTTTCTGGATAAAATGCCAACAAGAGTTTACATATGCTACAGTTTACATGACTCTTTCCTCCCTTTGTTATTGTTTGGTGTTGTTGAGGTGGTTCCAACTCACAGCAACCTGATGCACAGTAGAATGAAACACTGCCCAGTCCTGCACCAGCCTCACAATCATTACATTTGAGTCCTTTGCTCCTGTCACTCTGTCGACCCATTTCTTTGGAGAGGTGGGGGGGGTCCTTCCTTTCTTTCATTGACCCTTCATTTTACAAACATAACGTCCTTCTCCAGGGACTGGTCCCTTCTGATAACAGGTCCAAAGTCTGTGAGTCAAAGGCTCAGCATCCTGGCTTCTGGCACCATTCTGGCTGCAATTCTATGACAGACGGTTCCCCTGGTAGTCCCTGGTCCACTTTCAATATTCTTCTCCAATACAATAATTCAAATGCATTGATTCTTCTACAGTCTTCCTGATTCATTGTCCAACTTTCACATACAGATGAGGCCTTTGAAAATTGGAGACTGTTTTTAGAAGCCCTTCTGACAATTGTAGCTCAACCCTTAAAAGGGAGGAAACCTTACAGTTTTGCAAAGACAGTCACTCTGTTTGTCCTGGAACAACACTCACTGTAATCTTGTGCTGTTTTCTAATGGTCAACATTGTAAATTTAAATTAATCTCTTAGAGATCGTTTTCCCTAAAGGGCAGTCCCAGAAAAATTATTTGAAGTTTTTCAGTCCTGATTTCTAGCTATACAGGATTTGCCCAGGTAAAGTCACACTAGACTGTGTACTGAGGCATATGCTTATATCCTGAGGACCACGGGGGCTCTGTGGCTAACTTCAAGGCTGGCAGCTCACACCCAGCAGCCACTCCAAACGAGGAATATGAGACATGTGCTTTCAAAAAGATGTGGTCTCAGAAACCTTCGGCATCTGTCGGACTGCTAAGAGTCAGAACTGACCTGACGGCTGTGGGTGTTTGAATATATATATTTATATTTCTTGCTATTGCTAAGTGCTACTGAACAACCCTGTATAGAGGTTCCAAGGAACAGCTGGTGGGTTTAAACTGCCAACCTTGTGGTTAGCAGTTCAGTGTTTACCCTACAGTGCCACAGTTTTTATTAATATGCAAGCTAGAGGTTCAGCTTTTTAAAAAAAGTTACCTTACTTCCTTTCAGAGGAAATATTAGTCACTTGTAAGTGTTGTAGAAGATGTAACAGCTCAAGCAGTGTTAACTAACAAGTTTTAACGGGACACCTTCCATGTTGACTAACAATCACAGTCTGTAAGAAAGCAGTAAGGTCCAATCAAATGCTACATCAACAAGACAAACACTTTAAATCCTAATTCCACTCCTGGTGTGCAATGTGAGGTGAGAAAAGTCCTTCAGCCATTCTGCACCCAATTTCCCCATAACCCTGAGTTAGCTGATGGCCTGGAGTGAGCAGAGACCGGCCTTTATGATGAAACCTTTGTATCTAAGACACTACAGAGTGAACAGTGGTAAAACATTGATCACAAATGGAAACTCTGCAGAAAATGACGAAGCTCACCTCCCGAGAAATGATTCCTGCTCTTCGTGCTCGACTTCCCAACACGAAAGAGAATTCACTGACTTGGGCCAGGCCGGCCGAGACGGTCCATTTGATGCCCTGGCTGCTCCTCGGCAAAATGAGTGACAGGACGAACGCGGCCAGCACAAACTGCGAAGACGGTGTTGAAAACAAAGCCCAGGTGACTCAGAGACTTGAGGTTAAAATACACATCAACTACGCACAAAATACCGGAACACCGCATCCCATAGACAGGTGAGGGGCTTCAGGAGATACATGGAAAAATTCCAACCTTCTTCCACGGGCTTGTTGAAGCCCCCTCACACAGAAGCACTTCAAATATGCAAGAGGCATCATATAAACAAAAAATCCTCAAAAATAAATATGCAGAGAACAAGAAAGCAAAACGCAAAGGCCTAGGTCAGGTTTTCTCTACCCCAGGTGAACAGCGTTAAATACGCATTCTACCGCATTCATGATGGGTTCTATGTTTTTTACCAAGACAGATATTTACTTATTTCTTTCTCCTGCAAATCAAATCCAGAGGGAAACAGTCTTGAGCTGAATGGCAGTTCCTTCGGATAAAAATACTTTTAAATCAATGTTTAGAATCCAGAAAGCCAAGCTGCTATGAGAGATAATGACATCTGCAGTAACATGTTAGTTCTAGCAGCTCAGACACACGTAGTGACAGAGAGAAAGCAAATGGAAGTGTTGGGATAAGTTTTAGGTATCTGTTTATAAGATGTTATCTTTGCATACATCCAAGCAGTTGGATTCTGTTCTTTAAAGTCATTTGGAACAGTTGTCAAATTACAATGTGAGCACCTAACCTGAGAAAGGAACAAGTTGTTTCCCCCATTCCAATTTTCAGTAAATTTCCTATCTTTAACATACTCACTTCTGAGACAACAATCAGTTCTATGGATCCAACTCTGGTAGCGTAGTGGTTACGAATCGGGCTGCTGACCTCAGCGTCAGCAGTTCGAAATTACCAGCTGTCCCGCGGGAGAAAGATGAAGCTTTCTGCTCCCGTAAAGATTTAGAGCCTCGGAAACCCTGTGCAGGGTCCCTATGAGTCGGGCCCGGCTCCACGGCACATAACAACAACAACAACAATCCAGTCCAGTCTAACACCAGCTTGCTTCCTCTGAAGCTCTGTCAGATGAGAGCAGGAGAACCTCTCCAAGAATACGGCTTCCGATGGATGTGAGTGAGGTTTCAAACGAGCAAATGACTGAGCATTCTCACAGAGCCGACAGTTTCAAATGTCTTCCCAGAATGAAATGACAAGTGGAGTTTTCGTAGACATAATGTAGTTACACATGAATTAGGTCCAAGAGAAAAGAAATCATCTATGTTGTGGAAGGTAAAACATGAAATTTTACCAATGATAAAGTCAGTAACAGAAAAAAATCAATACCTTCATGATCACCACTGATAATGTCAAGAACATCAAGACAGTGAGTTCGTAAATCACAAAAGTAGGGAAAACATGGAGTCCTGTTAGAGAAAGAATACATCGGTCACTTCTTTCATGGGTGCAGGCAGAGGTGCCGAACAAATTCACACTCATTTCTAACGATAAATCTCTAGATTTTAGTCTTGTCGTTATATTTATTTCAAGAGAACTATTAAATCAAAATCCTAAACTCCTTCAGGACCACTGTTTCCATGCCATTTACTTATGGACTCATAAATGCATTCGCGATGAGCTGGTTGGTTCCCAGTCGTGTTTGCTACCGAATACTCTCTCTTCTCCAGCTTAACAGGGAAAAGGCTGCCCCCCAAAGGGTAAGTTTAACTTGGTGCATACCCTCACTGCTAAACTTCTGCCGACAGAATCTACCTTCAGAAAAATACCGTCAAATCTGACGGGAAGGGAATTTCCTTTACGAAAATATTCTAAGCAAGCTGGAGGTAATGCTAGGGATTTATAAACTAGTAAGAATAGCCGCCAAAAAAGGAAACCAAACATACATTTGTAAAGCACCAAGAGCGCTACATGCAGTCCAGTCCAGAGGCCATCTGCGTGGGGAGAAAGTTCTTAACTGTCCAGCCTCTCAGTCAGGCTCACATTTCTAATCCGTTTTTGTGTGCCTCACAAACTTTGAAAACAACAACAACAACAACAACAACAGAATTTTCCCTAAATCCGTTTTCTCTTTGTTATAAAATTTTCTCCTGTGAATGTTATGAACTTGTTTTAAAGACCATCACATTACTTTCCTCAGAAGCTCTGCAGGCACCTCTGTTCTTGTCAAGGTAGACACAGGAACGTGAGCTTGCTAGTTAGGATGGGGCAGGAAAAGGTTGTTGTTGCTGGGTGTCGTCGAGTTGGTGCCAACTCATTGTGATCTTACATACAAGAGAACGAAACACTGCCCGGGTCCTGCACCATCCTTACAATTGTCATTATACTTATGCCCACTGCTGCTGCCACTGAGCTAATCCATCTCGTTGGAGGTCTTCCTCTGTTACGCTGACTTCCCACTTTACCAAGAATGCTGTCCTTCTCCAGGGACATGTTGGAAGTATGAGACTAAGCCTCATCATCCTGTTTGTTCTTCTGGGCTACTTCCAATATTCTTCTCCAACAACTCAAACAAATGCTACCTTCATTGTTTTCAATTTGTCCTCATACAGTTACTTGGGCACACTTTCTCCTGGTATTGTATGACCAATGGCCGTACGTTTTAGGGTCTTTTATTTCTTCATCTTTTCCTACAGAAATTCTGTACTATTTTACTCACTCTGACCATTTATCTTTTAACATCATGTAGAGCTGGACTCCCTTCTTTGATTACTTTTTTCAAAATTTTTACAGCGACTCTGAGCTGCCAATTCTTCCGAAGTACTTGGAATCCTTTTGTAAAGGTTGTTTGTTGTTGTTGTTAAGTGCCATCGAGTCGGGTCCGACCCATAGCGACCCTGTACAGGGTTTCCGAGGGTGTAAATCTTTACGGGAGTAGAAAGCCTCATCTTTCTCCCGCGGAGCGGCTGGTAGTTTCGAACTGCTGACCTTAAGGTTCGCAGCCCGATTCGTAACCACTACGCTACCAGAGCTCCTTGTAAAGGTAAAACATAAAAATCTCAACATATCTGTTATGGCTGCATTCCATTTATAAATCAGTATTATCATTCTCTTTGCCAGCAAAGTCTATTTCTTTCTTTATTCATATCTGTTATTTATTGAAGTCTTATTTCCTCTTGTAAATTTTTGTCATTTACTTTATGTGAATCCTACCTGGTTCGTAAATTTATTTTTAGGCATTTGATGCTATTTATTTCTATGGTTCTTTTTCTTGGTACGTAGTTTCCAACTGGTTAATGTTTGATGCTTACTAAAGTTGTATGATTTTCATAAAAAGTCTGTAACTGACCAGCAGACTCCCAGTGCTCACGGTAGTTTTGATTGGTTCTTTTGGCTTTCTTCAGTGTGCAATCATGGTATATTAAGATAAAGTTAATTTTGCTTCTTCCTCTCTGGTACGTGCAGTTGGTTTACCTATTAGTCTCATGGCTCTGTCTAGTATTCCCAGAGCAATTCTGAGTAACGGTGGGTGATGATGATAAACGCTCTTTTCAGTTTTTCTTCTTTGTATGTAAGTGTAGTAGCAATCAAGAGATCCAATGACGTATTGCATTAGGCACATCTGCTGCACAAGACCTTTTTAAGTGCTGAAGAGCAAAGATGTCAGCTTGAGGACTAAGGTGTGCCTGATCCAAACCATGGTGTTTTCAGTAATCTCATATGCATTCGAAAGCTGGACAGTGAAGAAGGAAGACTGAAGAAGAACCGATGCTTTTGAGTTATGGTGTTGGAGAATATTGAAAGTGCCATGGGCTGCCAAAAGAACCAATAGATCCGTGTTTTAAGAAGTGCAGCCAGAGTGCTCCTTAGAGGCCAAGATGGCCAAACTTTACCTCTCATACTTCGGACATATTGTCAGGAGGGACCACTCGCTGGAGAAGGATGTCATGTTTGGTAAGGTGGAGGGTCAGAGAAAAAGAGGACGACCCCCAATGAGATGGACTGACCAAGTGGCAGCATGGATGGACTCAAGTGTGGCAACAGTAGTGAGGTTGGCCCAGGATCAGGCAGTGTTTCGTTCTGCTGTGCATAAGGTCGCTATAGGTCAGTACTGACTTGATGACACCTAACAACAACAAACAGGTAAGTATGCTGATGTTCTGCTCTTTCATCATGGAGCAGGATTCCTGCTTTTGGTTGTTATTGTTGTTAAGAACCGTGGAGTCGGTTCTGACCCATAGTGACCCTGCACAGGGTTTCCGAGGCTGTAAATCTTTATGGGAGCAGAAAGTTTCATCTTTCTCCCGCGGAGTGGCTGGTAGTTTCGAACTTCCGACCTTGAGGTTAGCAGCCCGATTTGTAACCTCTACGCTACCACAGCTCCTTTTGTTTGCTGTTGTTGTTAGTGCTGTCGAGTCGGTTCTGACCCATACTGACCCTGTATAGGGTTTCCAAGGACCACCTGGTGAGCTTCAACTGCTGACCTTGCAGTTCAAACGGCTTTGCAGTCTGGCTCATTAACCTACAGCGCCACAGACTTTACAGATATATATGTATATTTAAATCCTATAAGGACGGAGTCCTGGTGACAGCGGGTTATGCGTTGGACTGCTACCTGCAAGGTCAGCAGTTTGAGCCCAGCAGTTGGGCTGTGGGAGAAAGATGAAGCTTTTTGCTCAAGCAAAAACTGACAACCTGGGAAGCTGATGGAGGGTCACTATGAGTAGGAATTCACTTGACATCCTGCTGCAGTAGCAGCTAACTTGATCATTACATTCAATGTACTAGGCTCCACAGACACAAACATGAGTGAGGAATGTGCCCTTTAGGTGTGTAAATGGTTATAAATTTCTGAATGTTTCTGTGTATACCTCTCCCCCATCCCCCCAAAAAAGAGGCAACAGAAACAAATACTGTTGAATGATGATGGTGCACAGAGGAGATTGTAATGATTGTAATGAAATGATGAGTGTAAAACCGATGTTCCCCCATGTAAACTATCACTCAATACACAAAAAAACCTAAAAAACAAAAACAATGAGAAGGCTCACCTTTTCACGGTACTTACGGTGGTGGGGTGCCAGCTAGCTGACCCTTACTCATGGTGACCCTGCACAGGGTTCCCTAGGCTGCCAATCTTTATGTGACCTGAAAGCCTCATCTTTCTCCCACAGAGTAGCCAGGAGATTCCAACTGCTGACTTTCAGTTAGCAGGGGAAGCTACTATTTCTGCCTTTCAGTTAGCAGGGGAAGCTACTATGCTGCCAGGGCTTCCGTGGAGCCCAGAGCAGATCCGCTACATGACAATGAAGCAGTGCTGCCCCAGAGGGACCCTGAACACTCAGTAGTGACCACTTCAGTAATGCTCTCAGCATCCCAGGAAAGGGGAATATCAGGAGGAGGGGAGGGAATCCTTGTTGAAAATTCATTTTACAAGAAGGAATACCAGATTACTGATAATTGCTCACAAACAAGGAAGTTGCTAAGAATGGATCCCTATGGTGGTCTAGTATAGGGCTCTGCACATGGTTTCTTAAAAGGGTTTCCTGGTAAATACCTTAGGTTTTGTGGGTCATATAGTCTCCGTTGCCCCGACTTAACTCTGCCCTTGTAGCATGTAAGCAGCCATAAACAAAACATAAAGAAATCGGTGTGGCTATGTTACAGAAAAACATTATTTATAGCAGTGGTGGGGAACCTTTTTTCTGCCAACATTTATAACACCATTCATGGGTCATACAAAATGATCGATTTATAAATTAGCTTGCCATATTTGGTCAAATATTTCATTAGTAGACTTGACGACACTTAACAACAACAGCAACAATGTAATAGCTGGAACTGGGCATGCCTCGGCAGGACCTTATACAGCCTGAGTTATAACAACAGGCCATGAGCCATAGCGTGCCAAATCCTGGTCCAGTGGAAAGAACTTGGGTTTTAAAATCTGGTTCAAAGTCTACCACAATCGTTTACTATCTGCATGAACTTGGATCCATTCTTGAACTTTTAAACGTTGATGGCCACGTCTTTGAAATGGCACATCTTGATAATTACTCTGAATTGCTGATGTGAGGTCTCAATCGGACAACAGATGCCCATAAGGGCCCGGCACCGTGCCTTAGCTACCAAGACACAGAAGCGCTCACTGCCAAGCAGTAGGCATATCGCAGTGTTCTGCTGTCATGACACTTGAACAAGAGAGACATCTGTGATAATTAAATTACTCTTCTACGTTATAAAGGGATGTTTCCGTCACTTCTCTTGTACAAACTCCACAACATTTCATTAAGGCCTTTTTCATGTTCAGTATTTATTACATGAGGGCCAAATATCAGGTCAGACTACAAAGTTTACCACTCCACACTGTTTCCTCTGTCACGAAATCAGGTTACGTATAAATATCCTAATGAGAACCCTTGTTGTTGGTTCTATGACCTACAGAATCCAAACCAAAGTCTCTGACGGGACCGGAAACCCCCTCTATACCTCAGCCTGTTCTCATGGCCCAGCCTTCTCTCCTGCTGTCTCTGCCTACTCACTTTCCCTCCATGGACTGGCTCAGGCTCTTCCTTCATTACACACATTTCATCTTTATTTCTGGCTTGCTTTTCAAGGCCATCCAAATGCAATCTCTTCTAAAAGTATAGACTGACCACCTTCAAGTGTTGAGGACCATTCCATTACTTCTTGTTGATATTGCTATAGGGCCCTTGAGTCAGTTTCTGAGGAGCAGTTGATGGGTTTGAACTTCCAACCTCAGAAAATGCCTTGATGACAAAATTATGACTAGTTCATTTTTATGGTTCCGAAGACCATAGAAGAATCGATGCTTTTGAGTTATGGTGTTGGAGGAGAATA